GTACTGTTTCGCGCATATGCCACTGTGCGGCATCTAGTTGCCACTATAGTTTGCTTGCAGCCAGTTAATGCGAGCATCTGCCGTTAGCTAATATGGTGCATCTATCCTTGAACCATATAGATATACCTATTCACCGTCGTCGATCATATCGGTAGGCTTAGATTCTAGTATCACTGCGAGGGCAAATATGAATTTATCGCCGTCGTTTATCACTGCATTTACTGACACAATCACTAGTACTACCAGTCCTGAAACTGCTATCGTAGCGTATTTCGTTAGTCGTCAATAGACTTTTGGATTTCGACATAAGCTGTACTGTAACGCAATTAAAGGCATTTGCCATGCTCCGGCGATCAGGTGTCGCTTAACGTCTACAAGCGGGCGAAAAGGGCAGGTGAGCTGGGTTTCTGGGAAAAGTTGCTTTTTTGCACTTCCATCGCTATCCGCCTCCCCTTTTTTTCTCCCCATAACCCCTTGTATTTTTAATGTTTACTATATATTTATTTTCAGCTATTCACTTACCCAATTATCATAAATGACATGATTGCCTTATGATGCCTCCATATCGTTCTTGCTTCGCTTGTGACGAAGACTGAATTGATGTATTAACTTTGTTATTTTTGTTCAGCCACCGCTTTTCTTTAATAAGGGACAAATCGATAATCTGAATCCATTCTGGGCTTGGCGATAGTTCTTCTTTATAATATCGTCTTAGCAGTCACACAGGGCGTATACATTATTGTACATAGTTGAGCAGAGAACGTTGACCCTACAGGTAAAACTGGGGACGTCTCCCACTACAAAAGGAAAACTCTAGCCTATATATAAACATGCATGTACAAATGTGGGAGCCCATTTGTAATGTTCGCTTTTTTTTGTGTGGTTTTTGTGTGTGTGCGTGTGTGTGTGTGTGAGTCTGTGAGTGTGTGAGTGTGTGTGTGTGTGTGTGTGTGTGTGTGTGTGTGTGTGTGTGTGTATATTCGTTTGCGAGCTCGATCGATCAAAATGATCGCTATTCAGATCGTAAAGATGGGGCAGTTAGTCAGCTTCTACTGCGCTTGATTGTGCGATATTTATTTCGACTATATGCCGTTCTGTTTGTCTACGAATGCTAGCGAACACAGTAGTTTAGATAAGCGTCAACGACACCTTCTAGTCGGTTCTAAATTCGGCTGGCCAATACGTGAGGATAGACTAGTTTAGCCAAAAAAAAAGTGTAAATATGAGGGGTGTCACGCGGTGTTATTAGTACTAATAAAGCTTCAACTAACAGTACCTGCTATATTGTATTGACACAAATACACACCATAGGCCGAATCCGCACCGAAGGCTCCGTTCACGGCACGGATAAATCATGTAAGCGTTGGCCAATCAACGACAGTGTGTATCCGAGGATCAAATAGTTCAGTGCTACAGTTATACACCAACGGCGGCATCAGCAACAACCGATTTTTTGACGGACGCGAAATCAGGCCAAACCGTGTAGGCAAGCAAACCGTTACCCGAATAGATCGTGCCTATTCGCCTAAATAATTTGGTGACTGAATATTGCAGCAGGATAAACAGTGGTCATTTTTGTGAAATAAAGTCGATGTTCGGTACAGAATCCGCCCTGCTACGTATTAACAAAGTAAATCATGAATTATTCAAATAACTAGCGAACTAACAAGCCATAGGCAGTTAGTTATAAAGATAATATAGAGATTATTACAATCAAGAAGCGTATAAGCCTGATTTGTTAGGACGTCAACAAATAGCAGTCTGTTAGTAGGACACTCGTTACCATACATAAATGGCCGAACTTGAACGGAGATATAGCAATGAGTTAGTTAGGTGTTTTTTTTCAAAATATTTGAATTTACGATAATAGTTAGTCCTCACATATGCAGCGCAGTGAAGTGTAAAACAGAAACCACTCAAATAGATAATGTCACAGCAGTACCATATCGTAGTTTAATAGAACAAGAAAATGCTAATTCTGATGGCAGCGATAAAACATATTAGAAGCTGTTCGTTCTCGTCGGATACTTGGTCACATCCCAGTGTAACGAAATTACTTCGAAAAGCAAGCATCCTTGTCAAGCAGTAGCCTCGTACGGCCTCAAAGCACTTGGCACACTTTCATTTCCGGAAGCACAATTTAACATGGTGGCCCTTTGACTCAATGGCAAACATCCGCCTCTATACATCGTTCATGGCGGAGCAGGGCTGTAATGTATTACGGCATCTGCATTGTCGATTGTGCAGCTCGATTTCAGTAATCATCAATTTGGATAAAATTGCAACACATACAGTAATACTGCGGTATATTGCAACATGTCATTGTTCATCAGATTCTAAGCATTTGATTCAACTCACTGTCAAAACGTTACGATTGTTTTAGTCTGCCTTTGCGTAAATTATTTCGCCAAATAAATCTATCGATAATATTGATGACGATAAAGTTAGCTAAAACAGCCTCTACCGCGTACTAATATATATATATATATATATATATATATATATTGTTTGACAGTTTTATGTCGTTTGCAGACTGTAGTAGTAGTATTGTTCGACTTTTCATTTTATGACTACTTATTTAACAGCGGTCAGAAACACCAGGGGTCAGGGCATCACCAGACACGCTGCAGCGGCTGACTTTTCGAAAAAAATATGACTCAAATAATGACAAAAATAATAATTGTTTTGAATTCGCTCTGATGTACTGAACCACACGAAGATGTTAGCAATGGTCAAGTCAAATCTGATCCGATCCGATCCCATTGGCAAGCGTATTTAAACTACGTGCAAAACCGTTAGACCGCTGAAACTGAATCTGTCGTTGTTGATCATAAGATCGTGTGAACCTATATGTGATGGAACTAGTTATTTAGGATAATTGCCAGAAGTAGCGCGATACCTTTGAATACTTCGCCTATGTCTCTATTTTTAGTATTGCGTTTCATTAGTAAAGTATTACTTTCCTTACGTTCACCGTTAACTAGTGTCCTTTAATATTGTTATTATTACTACTACTGTTGTCGCCATAAACTTCGCACGTAGTAGCCTCCAGAGTGTGCTCATTTTTTTAGTGGGATTGCCTTACAGTGTAGTGCCTTATAGTGAGTGGGTAAACATGCTTTTCGGCTCTGCTATAGCCAAGTTCGAACGTTGTTTTCTGCTCACAAGTTGTTGTTGCTGAAGCAGGCGAAACTTAATAATAGACTAGGAACCTACACAGTATAGACGTTGCCATATGGTCGCTTTCAGGTTTCACTGGCCACAGCAGCAAACCGCCAGCGGATCTCACCTTCTCTAATATTGCGCCTTCTCCGTTCTTTTTACGACAAATTCATAGAGGTTCCGGCTTAAAAACTCTACAGAAGCACTAAATTGTAGCCTGGTGCCTATGGGTCACGTACTACATCATTCAACGATAGTGCTGTTCCATTAAATAACTCATAAGGTGTGTGTATATACGAGCCGAAATACGCTAGTGACTACCATTTGGTCGCGTACCAAATCTTGGTCAGTATAGACAACGATTTTTAGTATACTGTACAAGAATTCAGCGGGCAACGACTAAATTATATTGTAGAATTCATTCTCATTATGATTTATAGGTTTGTAAGAAGAACATAGAGATCATCCTCAAGCCAAGGGATTCGGAGAATCTTTCCCGCTTGGTTCCTCTCTCATCTCGTATGGTACTATTACCGTTGTCGGTGAAGATCTTGCCGTTCCTATACGCAAAGCGTATAGAGAATAAGCCTAAGCATATAGAACGGCTTGCTGTACCATCAGCTGTAGGCTGCTGCAATTCGGTCGGCGTTACTCATCGTGAATCGGTTGAAGCAGTTGGAGAATGCAGCGGTAGTACGACGCCAAGAGCGGAGCGGATTGCAGTCTCGCCTCTGCTGGGCGAGGGGAGAAAACGGCGGAGAAAACGCAGGCTGGCTATAGAGCAAGCAGGCGGGCGAGGACTGTTGACAAGGGATCAGTAACTAGCCAGGTCGACACGGCAGAATAGTTCGCGCACCCGCAGGCACAGCAACGCCGTGCTTTGTGCTAATGCAAACACGGCTTGCCCCTGTCGTACAATTTGTCGAAAAGGCTCGGGCGATGACTTTTGCTACGGACAACTGAGGGTTCCTTAGTATGTCCATGTGTATGTGGGTATATGTGCGGCTTTTGTGGATAATACAAAGATAAAACAAACTGTGTGCTCGGCGAAGCTTATTGAGTAGTACTTCACATCGGATTACCTAGCAAGTCTGTTTGCCTGGTACATCTTGGAGATAGTGACTAACTGACCCCATGTAGGTGGCGGGTGTTTCCTTCTGATTTTATCAGTGACCACACCTGTCGTGGCCTCTTGAAGGCTACAATCACGTAAGCTGACGAACCACGTAATAGTTCAGTTATTCGCTTGTATTGCTTAACTACAATTAAAGAATCATGAATATAATTGTAGATAGTCTTGTAGTGATGGCCGCAGCTGGAGCGGCGTTGTCTACGTCGACAGATGATTCTTCCGTGTTGGTCGAAAGTCCAACGCTATACATCCACCGCATGCCTCAACGACGATCAAAGATGAATAACTTGGATGCTCGACCACAAGTTCCCGACCTATCCAGTACTAACGCATCTGTGTACTCCGATGTCGGAATGTCTGAAATGATGTCGGACGAAGTTAATCAAGACGACTTTTTCGCGCTAGCTCTGACACCAGGCACTAGGCAATTCTACTTTATGTTGACAATCGGGCTGTCTGTTCTCACATGCGCCGTGACCGTTCTGCTTTGGTGGTTATGCTGTCGGCCAAAACCTATCCCCAGAAGATTTAACCCCCGCTACGATGGCGCTCCGCCGAAGAGATTGTCCAGACTCAGCTTCCGTGCTATTCGTTACTCAATGACAGGAAACCAACAAGTCAAATCTAACCAACACAGTAGTCCTGAATCTCAGATGGAGCCTGCGCAGTCCGTTTCGGCGATACCTGTTGTAGTTGCACGCTAAATTACGCAATCGCGTTGAGACAGCAAAAAAAACTCTTCCGGCATAAATTTATGCGAATAACTGAAAATTTCAAGTTATTTATTGCTGCTATTTAATTGCGTCACTGGATACAACGTTCATCACCTATATATATCTTTCAATTTGGGATTACTCCTGGAGCGCTAAACGCCAGACAAACGCACGCACACTTAATTCTATCAAAGAGATTACTGAAAATTGAGCAACGAATCGACATTTAGAATTTCCCTGCATAGTAACAAATAGTTCTTGGCGAATATTAAATGAAAATACTATATTACAGTGGAGTGTATGAAGTGGCGCATATGAGGTGTCGGAGCGAAAGAACTGTTATTAAACATTGATGTTTGTGCTTTTATTGACATAACATAGGTATTTGTATTAAACTTCCCTTTATTTCTTTCAATAAAGTGAACATAGACACTTTTGTTAATCGGACTCTACAGACAGACACGACAGACGATGCAAAAGGTGGCAAAACAACTATTGAACAATGAGGAGCGTCGATGAATGACTAGGGCTAAAACGAGTGCAAATGAAAACCAGTGATAAACGAAAAAAAGAAAGCTATCTCCTGAAAACAAAAAAAACGCTGGCAATCACCACTTAGGCTTGTCTGGTTTCGAAGCACTAACTAAGCGGCGTGCAGGAAGATTGTGGATCGTGGCTAACTGGAAACAATAACAGGACGCGCCAAAGAGCGAGTACCGCGTTGTATGAGTTGTAAAGTAAGACTGTTCACCCGTGAGGCGGAAAACGCATATGATGAACGTAACCTTCGCAACGAAACTATTTTTTCTACCACCATAAATTTACATGATACAGAGCTAATTAAATTCATGTCTGAAAAAACAAAATCGTCAAAAGGTACAGTGGCTTGTTAAGAATCCGTTGCAGATCACAGTACTAGTCAAAAATAAAAACAAATTTTTTTTCGTTAACATCCCTTTACCGAAAGATTCGCGAGACTTCTACCGCGTACTCTCCACTTCACTAACTATCTCACTCGTTCAAGGAATTTCGTGGACAAAGGCTCGCACCTCCGCTGAATGCGGCGACGCCTATATAAAAAAAATGTACACAAACTACACACCTACATGGGTAACATTCACGTTTATGCCAGCATAAGACCCCCATTTTTGTTGACGAGCGCCTGACTACTTTTTTCACCGATCTATACGGTATCTTTTCGGCAAGAAAGCCATAATTTTCTACAGTAGCCTCTACCAGTCTTGCCCCCGAGTGCCGTCGTCCCCCTGCCCATTACGCACATTCTGAAGGTCTGATCACACGAAGAATAACGATAGACTTACAAAAAGTCGAGGTAATGCCACCGTGTATCTACCGTAATAATAAAAATAAGAAAACGACAAAGCAACGACATAACGCCTAAAACGGTTTATTTCTATGAAACATCAGTTTATTACTCGAAGATCTGCCTACTACTATTGCGACTAAAATAAGATTGCTGTGAACAATGTAAACTCGATACCATTCATCATTCCGCATTAAATTAGCTATTGTGAATATGGAAGTATTAATATGAAGTTGTGTTCCGATCTACTTATATGTAACGATTATTTGAAAATTAAAACAGATCAAATCGGTACTGCTTATGAGCTACGAAAAGTTCTCGTACAGGTTGCTAATAATCAGCAGCGGATCGAATCGTTTGAGTTGTTTTTGGTTTTCTATTGCCTTTATGTTGATTAGCCATCGGCACTTTCAGCCAATACCTCTATAAATTGTTTTATATCAATAACAACTCGGTCGTCTGGACAGATCAATAGGGGTCTTACAGCCTCAAGATATATTATTTAAGGTCTGAGAATAGATACCAACGTAATCCTGTCGGAGCCTCGAAGAAGCCTCTGTTGTCGAATGGATTGCGAACGTGAAATTTTTGTATTTGGCAACTTTGAACGAATACGGCTGAAACAAGCATCAATCGTATTCGCTATATATTAGACAAAAGGGCAACACTCTTTTTTCCTTAAAATACGATATTGTTTACAACAACATTCGAAGAATAGCATTGACCAGCATCGCGACGGCAATATCACCATATTCATATATAGGAATTGTCCTTATACAATTGATCCATGCCTGTTCGACGGAGTCCGATAAGATTTTACTACATTTATTGACGCTGATGTCTGTCCCCGCGATCTTTGCTGACCTATTGCCTTCAACTGGAACCGTTGTGTGAAAAACAGCTATTGAATATTGTCACTAATCGAAGCAGGGCAATATCATTAGCGTCGACGTACACAAACTGTCAAAGACTATATATTTTTAGCTAATAAAACTATGATAAATCGGTAAACCAAACTAGAATGGTTCAGGCTAGTATTAAGAGTACTCATAGCTGTTGTTGGGCGGATTAACATTTATCCATGGCAGAATAATCAAATTATAGCTTTGCACCACGCTGACTATGACGATCGTGGTGCGATCTTGTGTGTTATATCATCTTCCCATGGATATTCTGACGATGGTGTTTGTGCGGTGATAAACTTACAAGGTTTGATGATAGTCATTTTATCTGTCGCATTACAATCGACATTTTGTCTTCTTTCGTCTTTCCTACAAAAAGAAAACTGTATTATTGATACCCTTTTAATAAGGTCTTCATAATTTTCGACTATTATTTTTGCATGTCTATCTATATTGAATCTTTAGGTTTTTCAACAATAGATTTGTCCAGCAATTAGGTCAGCATGTCTTCTTATGTGTTGCTTTTGTAAGCTTATGTGTATGCCAGTGTTTTTGGCTTTGAGTAAGTCATTTGAGAAGAAACACTGCTGCATGATAAGGCAACCCTGTTTTCGATTTATCACCTTTTTGATGTTTCCGAAGCTCTTTGACACTACTGTTGCCTCCCGTTAGACGATCTTGAATCACTGAACTGAATCGTAGGTTTTGAATCCTTTCACTGGCAGTTTATCTTAAAATATCTTATAATTAAAAGCACTTTAAAGAGATCTTTCTCGTTTTGTATTGTCTAAAAAATGTAAATCATTCAGAATACGTAGTTAATGAAAAAAGAAAATCGTCTTCATTTCCGGCGCATATAGCCGACACGTTAACAGCCACACGAATGTATCAATTCTACATTCACGTTTAAAAAATAAATTCACCTTTTTTAGGTACATTAATTCTTTAATAAATGCTAACGTAATCATTCCCTTTTCTATAGCTTGCGTGTACTCTTGCCTGGACACTGTTCATAACTTGACCTTTTTGTAAAATATAATCTTTAATGTAAGTAAACATGACTTGTAAATGAAATAAATTGAATAACTAAACAACCCTTGACTATATACGTACTAGAATGGTGTAGTATACACGACAAATGTATACTGAGCGAAAGGCCATCCTGATGATAACGAACAAAAAATAAGTAACGACAATTTAACTGCCAATAAAATCTGTCTATGACGAATAATCTAATTTACCACTTTAATAGCTTAAATGCATCAAGCTAATGTAGCCGTCGGATTCACGAAAACAGCCTTTCCCAAAAGCAGAAACGATTATATTATTTAGATGTCCGATTTGGTGTATTTTTCTACGATTCATTGCGGGTGTACAGTCATATATAAAAATACGCACATGATGATAAGATAATAAAAACATGGTGCAAAATATAGAAATATATATTATTTCTTTTTCTTTATATATAAATACTGAGTATGTCAGTATGTAAAGTAAATCAAAGTCCCGAACAATTTGATTAGAAGATGGTAAAAATCATCCAAAAACACTTATTATACATAGCGATAACATATTTTTTTGAGTTAGAAAAACTTTTGCGCGGAAACATTGTGCTTTGTCTTCTTTATGATTTAACCAAATTTGGTCATCTCGTGCCAATTCAAATAGGTTCGATCTTCTGCTAAGCTTCTGAGTCACACCACATTCATCGACACACCGTCATTCACATAAAAAGCGCATATTCACTATTAGACAGTTTTCCGCAGATTACATATATGAGGGGAAGGCCTCGGTCGCCCATGTTTTATTACAATTATTGCTTTCTCGAAATGCCGCTCCATGGTCAACGAACACGTCGCTCGATGATGGCAGCTGGAGGATTGTTACAAGATGGCTTTGTAGCTGAAAGCAAACGCTCCTTATGGCCAATATTTATAGCTAGAGCATATTTGCTAGAACCCGTTGTTATCACACAATTACCTGTTGCGTTTTGGAAATCCTATTTTTCTGTTGTAAGAAAAACGCATTAATAACTTTTCAAGCATGAACATATTCACTCCGTCCGCCTTCCGTGGAATACTGGCTACGAGAGTATGGAAAACGAAAGCGTCTAAAAATTGCGAAATAAACTTTTAAGATCAGTTTAATTAAACTAAAATAGAAATTCAAGCTCCGTAAGACTAAACATTACTAGAGATATTGCGTTTAAGAAGTCTAATTAGATTACGAGTTACTGATATATCAAACTAGTGAGTTATCAAATTTTCAGAATTAACAACAACAAAGCCGAACAGAGTTCTTTACATTAGCTCACTTAGATTTATTATTTAATATTACTAGAACACAATCATTCAAAAATTTCCAAGGATCTTTTTGCATAAATAAGCTATCCTTAAATTACATCATCAGAAAAGCTGAAGGTATGCTTTCAGCCGCATAACTAGAATATTACTTTTCTTTACTGTCTTTGTTGTTATTATTAGTAGTAGTGGTTCTACTAGTAGTAGGAGATTCTCCTTTGGCCATTGCAAGTTGCCTCTTCAACTCAAGAAGGATCGTAACTTCCTTGTCAATAACAACTTTTTCGGCGTTGTCGGCTTTTAGTCTGCGAACCTTGTCACCCTGTGCAGTGACTTTTTTTTGGATTTCTTCGGGACTGCTAATAGCGTCACCCTTATAGTTAGGCGCCTGAAATCCATCGAGTATACGTGCAGCTTCTAGTTGTTTCTTCAACGAAAGAAGGACGTCTACCTCTTTGCTGATAATTTCTTTCTCAGCTTTGTTTGTTTTCAATGCTCTTACCTTGTCTCCCTGTTCCTTTACTCTGGTTTCAAACTCAGCTGCCGTAAGGAACAAAGCCTGGTCACTGCCAATTACAGATGAAGCCTCTGCGATCTGCGAGACTTCCAACAGTTTCTTCATATCGAAAAGTACGTTCGTCTCCCTGATAATTAATTGCCGATCAGCTTTGGCAGCCTTTAACGTTCGAAGCTTGTCTTCTTGCTTCTTGAGCTTTGTCTTCAATTCGGTAGAGTCTTTCACCAGCTGGGTACGCCCCTGTTGGTCGCCGGCATATTTTTTACGGAACTCTTCGATGACATCAGTGTCAATTTTTTTGAACAGCGGTGTCGCCTTGTTTATCTTATGACCAGCAGCCACTAATGGTCGGAATTGATCGTCCAGTTGGAGCTTTGTAATGTTGAGCTGGTGCCGTAGTTCTTTGGCGGTGTCCGGCATGAATGGCTCTAAGCAGCCAGCAATAAGTGCGCAGATCTGCACACCTATGTACAGAGTGTTCCCACAACGCGCCCTTGTGTCAGCCGTTTTCACGAGCTCCCATGGTCTAGTTGATTGGATGTACTGGTTACCCATTTTCGAGATCATCAGAAGCGAGCGTAACGCGTCACGGATATGATTGTGCTCAAGTTTTTGCAGGAAGTCATGGTAGAACTGCGCAACCTGAGCAATGACCATCTTATCCTCTTCAAGAAGGTCGCCGACGAACGAAGGTACCTGGCCAGCGAAGTTGTTACCAATGAATGTGAGGCAACGATTTACGAAGTTCCCAAGGTTGTTAAGAAGTTCTGAGTTGTTTTTGGTTTGCAAATCTGCCCAGCTGAATGCCGTGTCTTGAGACTCGGGTCGAAGGTACATCATATAGAAACGCCAGACATCGGACACTATTCCGGTTTCTTTTGCGTCCGTACCAAACACGCCAACTCCACGTGATTTAGAAAATTTAGTGTTTTCGTAGTTCAGGTACTCTGTGGCGACGACGTTGTTTACTTTTGTAAAATTCTCTCCAGTGCCAATTAGGCACATAGGAAAAATAATCGCATGGAAAGGTACATTGTCCTTGCCCATAAACTGCGATAGCTCTACCTCTTCAGGATTTTTCCACCATTTTTCCCACTGGTCTGTATAGGAAGACGTAATTGACAAATAGCCGATAGGAGCATCAAACCAAACATAGAACACCTTATTTTCATAACCTTGTATGGGCACAGGTACGCCCCATTTCAGGTCTCGGGTTATACAGCGAGGCCTGAGTCCCTCTCGTAGCCAGGAATTCGTAATCACCTTAGCGGTTTGTGTCCACTGGCCAGTCTTAATACTCACATCTAGCCACTCGCGGAAAGCCGAGTCGATCTTGGGCATGTCAAGGAATAGATGCTGCGATGCCTTGATGATTGGCGTACTCTTACAGAGCTTACATTTAGGGTGCTTGAGTTCTATTGCGTTAATGAGTTTAGAACACTTGTCACACTGATCTCCCCGGGCATCCTCATAGGCGCAAAAAGGGCAGGCTCCTTCGACGAAGCGGTCTGCCAAAAAACGCGGGCATTCTTCGCAATAGAGTTGTTCGACAGAATCTGCACTCAGGTAGCCATTTTCATGTAGCTTATTGAAAACAGCTTGCGCCATTTCGGTCTGCTTTAATGTAGACGTACGACCAAAGTAATCGAACTCAATATTAAACCATTTATATATGTCTTTATGGATAGTGTGGTACTTATCGCAAAGCTCCCTGGGTGTGCATTTCAATTCAAGTGCTTTGGTCTCTGTAGCTGTGCCGTACTCATCCGTTCCACCAATAAATAACGTATTATAGCCACGCATACGACAGAAACGAGCAAATACGTCCGCACTCAAAACGCTACTAACAATATTGCCTAAATGAGGCACATTGTTTATGTATGGCAAAGCAGCGGTGATTAGCATATTACGCTTCCCTTTCTCCGGGAGAATTGGAGCTGTCTTTTCTGTTAGCGGATTTCCACCAACCTTGTCTTTCCATAACGTCACGGCTTTATCGATAAACTCATGAGTTAGTTTAATGTGTTGCTCATCTGAGCAACTCTGGCTCTGCTTAGTCACCTGAATTTGCTCCGTGTAAAGGTTTAACAAACTCTCCAAGGCGATCGATTTCGGGATAATGTTGGCAAAATCTGATGCAAATTTGGCATAGAATGATATCGAACTGAGCAGCGCTGCACAATTTTCGTCCGTCGACAATGCGCTTAATGCAGAGCAAATGACCAGGTACCCAAGTGACGCCTGTTTAGGAGGTGGGTTGAAGTCTTCGAGCCTTAAGGCAATCTTCTTTCCTAGCACAATACCTGCTACAGATGGCAAAAGTACCGAACTTTCATACGAAAGCCAGTATTCATCTTCAGTATCAACGGTTTTGCCCGCCTTAGCCCACAAGTAGCGACAGATGGCATTTGTGGAAAATAAATGATCACCGTCTGCCAATTCGAACGCCGGCAAACGCTTTAAAGGCGATTCTTTGGCCTTACATTGGACTCGCTCAACTTGATACTTTGTCTCCTGCAAAACTGCGTCCAATTTGCAGGTTTGCACCGAATCTTCACATATGTAAAGCTTCATTGCTGCGTAATCGAAACACTTCTTTACCCAAGTGATCTTTTGCTCCTGTTCACTGAGCACGTTGGAAAAGCTACGTCAGTTCATTCCGACCGATTGGAAGATGCAGCACCCTTTGTCTCATATGCCTGCTATCGTCTAATAAAATTATCAACTACTATACTAAGAAATCTCTCATATCGATATTCTCTAGTATTCAAATACTAAGTATATAAAAACATCCACTATCTGAGCTATTGATGTTTAGCTAATATTGTGCGTTCCTGGCCATTCTCCGAGTCTTTTAATTCGACGGAACTCATTCACTGTTCGACGATGGCAACGTCCAGCGAGGATGAATGCTCCGATAATGACCTCGAAAGAACACAAATAGGAGAAAGAGGTGACGATAACACATGCACGTTTAAAAAGTTGGTAAGTTTACTAAGGACTCTAGGCATATCTTGGGAATGGTAAACCACAAAAATGCAAAGTGAACCCAAACAAAACCACGTGCTCATGGCCGTTGTGAAAAAGGAAGTTACCAAAGTGGTAATCGCTCAAAACATGTAAAAGGCGAGAGCTTTGATGTCTAGCCGAGTAATAATATAATTTTACTAGAATAAGTCTTAGTCGAAACGGTTATCAATGAGACAATAAACTTTCGTCGACGCTGTCCAACAATGTGCATTAGGGTCGATTAGCTAGTGTCACAGATAGATATGGTATTACGCCGGACGTTTCTTATTTCGTGTCCAATTCACCTCTCGTCACCTAGTTTTGATAAGGTAGTGGCTAGTGCATTCAACGCACTGACCGTCTATACCAGTGGAAAAAAATCTAAACTCAATGTATGTACATATATATGTACCACTTAATGCGTTTCATCTTCTGCAATACAAGAGACCTAACTAGTTGTAGAGCCAAACATGTAGCACTTATACGTAATTTAGTTTAATCAAACTTTGCTGTTTTAGGTTACATACATTGGTTTGTTTTACAGAAAACAAGAGGGGGCGATGATCTGCGCGTAAAATTTCCTATGAAATGGTTTGCGCGAACGGAACTAACAGATTAAACATTTGTTTTTAGGGAGTAGTCGATGTTTTGTGTGAAGCTTGTGAAAGGCTAAAATGGACAGCTCCTTCGAAAATCCAGAAGGAAGCTATTCCCATAGCTCTCGAAGGCAGGGACATTATTGGTTTGGCAGAAACTGGTTCGGGAAAAACCGGCGCATTCGCTCTTCCGATTCTTCAGGCGCTGCTGAACAATCCACAGAGGTTGTTTGCCCTTATATTGACTCCGACTAGGGAGTTGGCCTTTCAGATTTCAGAACAGTTTGACGCGCTCGGATCCAGTATCGGCGTCAAGAGCGGTAAGGTGTTTTCTCAATAAATTATATTATACGGTTAGCTTAGGTTCTGATGATATCCTTGCTATGCTAGAAAACGAGTTTTCTCAGACGTAAGATTTTTCGTTAAATTTTATCACCGAGTTATGGCAGTCCTCACAAAAAATATATATCCTAACATAACTCGTTTTGGGTTACGTGATATACTTATAACATCATAATATGGTCCTTTGTGTGCTCATCGATACGTTTTTCTACTGTCGGTTAACATGATGACACATCTTTCCTCTGTTATTTAGCTGTGATTGTTGGCGGAATTGACATGATGACACAAGCGATGATGCTAGCAAAAAAGCCCCACGTAGTTATCGGTAAGTCTTTTGGAATCAATCAGATTCTACAGATGCTACACTGGTTCCCAAGTATAGCTTAGCAAGTTTTTTTTTACCTGATACAGCTATTAGGCACGGTTACCTGCGAAGTATTGTCGAGTGAGTTTTTTTATTTCGCAGTCGCTGCCAGATACATTTTACTATGGGCGAAACTCTACTGTGCCGGAAAATTAGGATTTCTTTTATGAGAATACGTGTTCCTTTTAAAAATTGATCGAAGAACATGAATAGGAATATAGACATTTAAGCCTTTTTGAGATATTGAAAATACCTAGACAGAGTGGCTTTTCCTGTGAGGGGCACAACCTAACCAGTCGAATCAAAATGGACCTGGCTGTTTTATGTGGACGACTGTCCCCTCCTGCATTCCGTGAGTTGCGCTTACTTCTGCTTCTATTTCATGAATCCCTTTTTTATTAGGAATATTTCCCAATAATTTACTGAGACAAATGTTCTTTCTGCTATCGCTTTTAACAGTATTTTTTCAAATTTATCAAATAAAGTTAGAAACTACATACTAATCGACAATAGTTAACGAACAAAAACACTGCTGCTCAGCAATATATCTAAGCAAGTAAAAACTTCCCTTGGCGATCGCCGGGATAGGATAGTATGTGGTAGCAAATTGATTAGTTAAACGCAGCTCGACTTGCTGAGGAAAATAACGTATCGAACCTGATAACATTGTCCGTAAGCGTGCAGAATTAAGTCACTGAGATTACAAACATCACAATTAACTGACCTGTGCTTTTTATTACAATGCTTTCGTTCAAACCACTCCTCTAAAATGAAACTCGTCAGAATCGTTTTCAACACTGTAGACACTAATGCATTTTATGCAATTCTGCTTTATAATATAAGGCAGCATATAATGAAGCACGTATTGAGTTCAAATATATGGTGTTACGAATGGTAACTTAAAAAACTTATAGTATCGCTCATTCCCTTTTCAGCTACACCTGGACGTCTCATTGATCATTTGGAAAATACGAAGGGATTTAGTTTAAAAAATTTAAAATATTTAGTCATGGACGAAGCGGACCGTATCCTGAATATGGATTTCGAGGAAGAAGTCGACAAAATCCTAAAAGTTATCCCTAGAGAAGGACGGAAAACGTTTCTTTACTCAGCAACGATGACTAAGAAAGTCGCTAAGCTCCAACGGGCTTCTCTGACAGACCCAGTCCGTGTTGAAGTTAGCTCAAAGTATCAAACCGTCGACAAACTAAAGCAGCACTATCTCTTCATTCCAGCCAAGTTCAAGGAAGTGTATTTAGTCCATCTGCTTCAGGAAATGGCCGGTCAGAGCTTTATCGTTTTCTGCGCAACTTGTAATGGTACTCAGAAGCTGGCATTGATGCTGAGGAACCTTGGCTTTACAGCTATCCCCCTTCACGGACAGATGTCACAGGCGAAGCGATTAGGAGCCCTGCAGAAATTTAGGGGCAAAGCAAGGAACATACTTCTGGCTACCGACGTCGCAGCTCGAGGTCTTGATATACCGCACGTTGATGTAGTTATCAATTATGACATTCCTACACACTCAAAGGATTATATTCATAGAGTGGGTCGTACGGCTCGAGCCGGCAGGAGCGGCAAGTCAGTCACAATTGTTAGTCAATACGACGTTGAGCTCTATCAGCGGATAGAACATCTCATTGGCAAACAGCTTCCCGCTTATGACGTACGGGAGCAAGAAGTGATGGTTCTACAGGAAAGAGTTCAAGAAGCCCAAAGGTTTGCTAGACAGGTATATATAATCCAATGCTTCTTTTTATAAATGCTGCACATTTGCCTGTGACATGTATCGATGGGGCATCTATCGAAATAATATCGATTCTCTGTAGAGTCGGTATTATATTAGGATGGATTTACCTAATATTTGTTAAATTTCAGGAAATGAAAGAACTTGAAGATAAGAAAAAAGATGCGCGAAAACGGAGACGGGAAGGGGCAGATGAAGACGATGATCACCGCGATGCGGAAAATGCTTCCGGAATCAAAAACAGAATGAAAGGAGGGAACAGCGGGACTAAGCCGTTTAAAAGAAGAAAAGGCAAATTCTAAATATTAGACGATTATCGTTTATTGCATATATGTACGAAACAGAATCTAATGGGAAAAATTATTCTGATTTGTTACTATAAAATAAATAACCTTTCCGTGCAACAGAATTATTTTGTTATATTTATACTGGGTCTCTTCCATATTGATGAGAATCTATAAAGTACAAGACTTACTATGTATATAAGCATTTATGCTAGGCCTATATAAGTAAGCTTATATATAAGCTTACTATGTATATAAGACTTTAAACATCAAACGAATTTAGACACAGTAATCTGTGTAATAGAAACGTGACGATTGGGCGATACATATTTTAAGTTGCCCGCTGAAACTATTACGAAAACCTGCCATATGTTTTATTTGCATTTACTACTTATACGGATGGTCAGATTAGGAAATATGTTTCATTATAATTTATATTACTACTTTTATTAAAAATTGTTATTGATATTATTAAAAAAATTACGCTAAAAAGGGGAAGTCTTGAAATTGGACACAGTCACTTAAAGAGATAGTTGAGCAATAATCTAAATAATTTACTAAGGATTACATTCTATAGTCAGAAAATACGACATACTTTACGAATTAAAAACGTTCTCCCTAGCCGAATTCGGACTTCATAGCGCTAGATGATTTACCACTAGCTAAACGATTATTAACACTATAGCAAATAACAAAATCCATGTAAATGTAGCACTAAGTAAATCCTTTATCAATTAGACGATATAACATACCATACAGAAGCAAAGTCCTTAACTTGTACATAGCTTTAGGAAAATACAATTCTGTGTGTTAGCTTATTTCTTAAACGTGCTAACAATCTTAGAAATGGAAACCATTATTTACTCTGGTGGGGAAGAAGATATAGTACAAGGCTGTTACATAAAATATAAGTGTAATTATGTAATTATTGTTGCATTAAATATAGTAATGTTATTGCTACAATGTCCATGTAAAAGGCTGACTCTGCCTAACTCAATAGCACTGCCACAAAGGACTGCTTTTCCTCCCTTGCAGTGATCAGTACTTGATGCTACATCCCCGATAGGAAAAAAGAACAAAAAATTGTCTATTTCGCAAAATCGCGGTTATATATATATATATATATATATACGAAGCTCCATGCATACAGCTTACTACTGGCAAAGGTAAACAGCAAAATTTTTATACTTTTGACTATGCATTGGACTTGCTATACGGATATCTAATGACTGTAGGCACTGCACCGTCTCTTCGGTTTGAATAATTTCTTGCACGTAATTATCATTCGCATATTATCGTTCACAGATTTAGTAAGCTATTATCCGTATACGTCATCCTTGCTCATTTACAAAATATACTCAACTTCGAATAGATTATCGCTGTCACAATTAGCTTATGAAATTATAGCGATTCTACCAAACTTAGGTAACATCATTATACTGGATCTCGACCTAACTAATATCGGGAATTTTGCGCGACGAAAGGAATGCAGATATGATAGCATTTCGTAAGTCATCGTCTGTTCTGCAGCCATTTATCGCACATTTTGTAGACTGTTGTTTGTTTAAGTTGAGTAGCTTTCTCACGAATCCTTCGTACTCCGTCTACCTGGCCTAATCTTACTGCCAACATATAGGCCGATCGTAAACGGCCAGACTCCGTGTACGCAACGATCTAAAAAATCGGCCAAGAGAAGAATTAGTGAGGTTTGAATACGTTATTCGACATTAAGATAAACTCCAGCGAGTAGGCCTTCAATAATTGTTGGGCTTTTTTAACTGACTAACAAACTTTGAGCTCAACTCAGAAGCCGTTTATACATAAAAGGAAGCTCAGCTCAACAGGCTACCTTATTCATATCGTCACTGATGAGCTTCAACAGTGAGTCCACAATAACATTCAGCTTCTCTGGATCATTCGTGTTCTTCTTTTGGAAAGTGGCAATCACTGCTATGAACACCTTGTCCATGTTATACAGATCATTGTTATACCTGGCAAGGAAATAAAAACAATATCAGTCGTTTCTGCTTTTTGCAATAGACTTGCAACTATCAGTCACGTGCATAGAATATCATTATTGCATCAACTGCATAGCCAAACCAGCTCTAAATGCGGTGACTAGGTGTACATAGCAATAATACATAAGCATAATTTCGCTTTAAAACGAACAATTTCAAATGGTTATTGTCCTTTTCACACTATTAAAGCAGTATGTCTCTTCGGCGGGACTATAGTAGTACGATAGTATACTGAAACATTTGAAGTATGTATCACTTGAGGTAAGTTAGGTACCCAGATTGCTGGACACACTTCGACAGACGCTGTATTTCGTCTAGATTAACCTCCTCGTTATTTCCGGCTCTGGCAAGGAATTCCACCGCTCTTCTGAGGACATCCATTCCGTCTAATTGGCAGTCGGTCACAACGCGCATACAAAGACCGAAGCCATTTTCCACACTGGAACCGTTCAGCAAAATCTGCGAGAGGCGAGTACATTCAACGATTTAAAATGGTAGTTTTGGTAAAAATTTAGGTAACTATTTGATACAAGGTCTTAGAGGAATGTATCATTGGTGCAATGAAGATAATACACGTACCATTGTTGCAAGATTATGTTTAACATTAACGTCGGTGGAAAAGAGAGTCGGCTTTGGTTTCAAAGTTGGCTGCGGACCCGAAGAGCCACCACATGGACAAAACTTGTCCTTAGTAGTAAGGCCTTTTTTAGTAGGATTTGGTGGATCCAACAAAGTAATCAGGAAGCCATTTTGAGCTTCTTCCCTGCAAGCCAGATAACGGCATACGTCGATCTGGAGCGAAACTGTACTCAAATGACTGTTGGTGACAGCGTGAACATCAAAAACATTTTCATGTTAAATTTCACAGAAGTTTGGATAAATCAGCACAGTAATAACAAGTGTTATATTAAACAGACAGTTTTCGACAAAATGATATTTCTTGTCGCCGTTAATCAGTTTCCAACAGTCGTGCATCAATAGCCAGCGACCTGCAAGTTTTAAGCGTCTTATAATCATCGAACTATTATTACATAATTTGAATGAACTTTACAGAGCTACTTTCAAAGTGATTTAGAAAAACAGACCGGTAAATATCTTTGATTCGCTTAGAATGCTGACCCGCGTCTTCGCTTGATTTCTGATCGTTTTCAAGGCTGCGTTGTAAGAAAAGCTCAAGATATTTCTTAGCATCGGCAAGATGATGGAGCTTCTCAGCAGCCACTTCCTTCATCGAAAGGCTAGCCGTTTCGCTTTCGAAGAAATTAATTGATGTCATCGCAGCTCGCATCCAGTCCTCCATGAAAATCTGGACCCTAAAAGTGGCTAAAGCCGTTAGAAACGTTTTTCGGCATATGTGTGTACGCCTAAATGATAAATGTCTTAATACTCTGTCATATCCTATTACTCTACATAGACTAACCTATATAAAGTGTTCACATAGTTATGTCGCTCGAGGTAGATACAGAGGGAGAGAAGATAGGAATTAAACTTTGTCAGGCAGTGCTCAATCAACTGCATCTGCTGAAAGAATAGTTCCAGAGAGCCCGTCCGAAGACACGGTATGAACAAATTCTCAACAAATATCTGATTTTCGCACCTGAAAAGCAAAAAATGCAGCTAGTAGTTAGCTGATTTAAAGTTATTCCATAAATAATCAGGAAAATACCCTAGGCAACTAAAATTACCTTTAACCACAATATGTTGACCGTATCATGAGTATTTCTAACTGCGACATCAATTCTGGTAGAGCAAGGAAATAGTCAATAAGCAGTGCACTCACTTATGGTTAAGACAATATTCAAGTGCCTCTTTCAGATCCTTTTTACGGCTCAAATATGAAATAATCGTTGAATGGCAGGCAAAACGCTCTAGATAGAACCAACTCTCGGTCGCTACAGTAATCAGGTGGTCCATACTTTGGACAGTTTGATGTTGAATACCATCTGTAAAAACGAAGACAGTCTCTATATATGAAAAGGTAAATTCCAATTTTAGTTCACTCAAACGCTGAGATGCACTCCAATTATCTGTCTTCGACGATGCCTGAGAACCATAAAAATAATATTTATTGTGTACTTTTATGCTTCACTTAACTCTGGTCAGAAATCTCTTCAGCTAAACCTTTTTACCCTCTTCACTGGTCGATGAATTGGAAAAGCAAAACGTAGTAGATAATTTTGTAGCAATAGTCTTCCCTATAAATCTTTCAATATCACAGAGACTGCACATTTTTTTCGGGTTTAAATCATTTGCAAAGCTCAAGAAGTGCTCAGTTAAACACATAACGTCTTCGGCCAGCGAGCACAAAGGATAATACTTATAGTGCGATGCGGCCATAGAGAGTACTATGTAGTGCTAACAGTAATTGCTATATATACATAAACAGCATATTACTCACTTGCTTTAATATTTTTTAAATTGGCGAGTGTGCAATAAACTGCCGCAGATTTTGTAACGCCAGCATAGGTAGAGTTCTCTAGAACAGCCAAGATGTCCTTTAGCAGAGGGCTTTCAGTTTTGGAATTATTTACATCCAAAGGACGTCTTAGGCAGTTCGTTACCAGTTTCTCGCGAGCAGCCGACCAATCGCCTGCCTAAACCGCACAACGTTATACTCTTGTTTAATGTACACACATGAAATGTATCTATACATGCAACACAAACAAAGACTTTTCAGCAACGAATATATCCAGCGCAAAATGATAAAAAAAATACGAAATAAAATACAGCCTCTGAAAAAATTATATTTAAATTTACCTGAGCAAAATAATTTTTTATATAAAGCATAAGAGCAGCTCCAATAACAAAAACAACAATAGCTATAATCACAAAAAAACGTTACTTAAAGATATAGTGATTCCACTTTCGTTAAGCAGAATGCGAAATTAACTGGATCGGTTTTGACGCCATAGTGAGCAGCAGGAAGTGTTTACCTTTAGCATTGACAGCCCCCACGCAGCTTGCACAGCGCTCTCTTCCAAATTGCATTTAATAGAAACCTCCAAAGCCAGTTGAAATCTTTCGGCATCAAGAAGCTTATCGCGAAGTTTGCGATGTACATTACGCCAGTCCTTGTTTCTTATGCCTTTCTGCTGCAAAACTTCTCTGCAATAATTTAGCGTTTGTTTTTAAATTGTTCACTTATGCAGCCCTGCCAGTGGCAACCAAAACAGCCTTACGATGGAAATGCGCATGCCCGAAGTTCTTGCTTATCTCTTGCCATTATATTATAGAGTTCCTCTAACGAAGTATACAGAATAGTTTGCAACTATAGCACCACAGCCGAATGCCCGTAGTTGTGAGACAGGTTCGGGGTCGCCTATCGATTATCTATACTTTCTCTGTTTTTATTTTATAATCCATTTCAGTCCATATTTTTTTGACCGCGTGAATCATATCACCCATACAAAAATATTTGGCGTAATTTTAAACTTGCTTAGTTGAAACGTTCGCCTGTGACAATTGTCTGAAGTATTGAAATACGCCAAGTATGTTTTCTAAAGGGAACATTAGAGTTGCGGACCTTAAGTCTTGGCAAAGGAAAAGCATCCACAATTACTGCATGATGGCGCGATGCCTGTATCGCAAGACGTGCACTACTAAAACAGCTTTTTCACTTACTTGGGAATTAGATCCTGGCAGTTGTTCTTGACAAGCAACTTGAGCAGATCAAGTGTCTGAAGATACGAGTCGCACCATTCCAACGACGCCTCTCTGTTGATCTTGAGTAAGTTAAAACGTGCTTTTAACAGCAGTGTTTGCAACATGGCTATTCCTTGGCCATGATCAATCTCGGACGGGGATCCCAAAAGTGGTACAAGGCGGTCACAGAGGCTTAGAATGAACTCGACCGCTTTTTCTAAATTTGAGTGTCGATCTAGAATAGACAAACACAAGCTTACACTTGGCGCCTGTTCGTAACAAAAAATTCGTCGGGTAGTGGCATTGAATTCGCGGTTATCTTCTCCTATCGGTTCTTTGATACACCACGTAGTTGTAACCCTGAACGGTGTGACCTTTTTAGAGAAAGAATTAGGAGTGAAAGTCTCGATGGCCTCAGTTGCTTCAACAACTTCGGGGTCCGTTGTCTGAACAAAGCAGTCGTCACAAACCCTCACCGGTACTTCGCCATAGCCTTGCACCATAAGCCCGCCTAAACGAATTGATACAATTTATGTTAAAATGTATAGTAATTCAAAGCTTTGCTTATACCTGTTTCCACCTGTTTTGACGCAGAGTCAGTTATGTGTGTGTATATGTATGTGTAACGTACTACACTAGATAAAACGCATTTTATATGTTTTTTGTTACTTGGACGTAAATACACTGTTTCTCAATAGTTTAAGAGTATCTGGATGAGAATATTTTTTTAGAGGTGAGATGTGTTTTTAAAAAAATAATTTTTGAGATAGTTATATAAACGTCGAAAGAAAAAAAAACTGCTAAATCGTATACCTCTAGAAGAACAATTGTTGCACACAACTCGTCCACAGCGCCGACAATGATGTTTCCTGACAAGAAAAGTAAACTTGGTCCGACAAATCATGCATTTTGTAATCTCTTGGTCCCGTACCCATTCTTTTACAGACGGCGTCTTCTTAGGCATTACGAACGAAGAGACAGAACATCTCTAAAAAACATGACAAAACATAATATTAGACTGATTTTCAACTTTGGAAAAAGTACGGGAAGGATAAACCCTCTTGGGATGTTTAATTCCATCTTGACATGTGGTCTCAGCCAATAATGGTTCTAGACTTACTTGTACAGAAGGATTTACTGAAGATCTTTTACTGTGTGGAGTCGTTATGTTGCTCAACTCAAGGGCTTTTTTGGCGAAAACCTCACATAGACCGTCGACTTTCGCTATGAATTCTGGTGTTAGAGACTCTGAACGCGCGAGTATTTCGTCCACGAGGTCTAAACGGCCATTCATAAGAAGTGCCTCGATAATCAGTTCTGGCCATTCATCCAAATGAAGATACTCCCACCTTTGGGCCACTGGAATTATCAACAAAGCTTCCAGGCCTAGTGCTTGCGTTTTTAAACGCTTGACAAGAGCCTCTTCCTTAAAATAAATTGAGATCATGTATCGAAGCAAGTAAAGTTTTCCTCTGCACGGCGTCAACTGATACAGCAGTCGTCGACAAAATGCTAATCGTGCTTCGATATCAGAAATACTGTCAACAGTTCGAAGTCCAGCAAAGTAGTGTTCCTCGCAAGCCAAGGAAAACTGGTGGTACGTGCTTAATTCGGTAACTGTCTGATTCAGCTGCGTGTTGCTTGGATCCACAAGACCCAGTGATGAAATCTTATGGATAAAATCGAAGTGATTCCCTTCGCGAAGTTTGGAAATCACCCACGGTATATCTTTTACAACTAACCGCCATTCAATATGAAGCAGTCTTCCGATTGACTGATACAGCAGGATTCGCTCCATCTCGGTTATCATTTTCGCATAATGAGTATCACTCTTAGGTACAACACTCTTCAACGCCTTGGTGGCATTCTCGATATCCTTGTCCAACCAATTAATATAGTTCTCAACAAATGCAGCTGCCTTCGAAGTCGAATTATCCAGTCTAAGAAGATAACAGTAGTGCTCCTTAGTGAGAATCTTGAAGATCTGCTGTTTTAGATAATAAAGTTTTGAGGTAACTAAACGGTTACCGCAAATAGCATCGCAAAAATCGATGCAGTCCAACATCTTCACAAGCGAATCCGAAGACTCGAGCACATTCCAGATATCTTCAGCTATATTTCCCGACAAAACCGTCTCCTTGGCATCTGGCAGCACATCCAGAATTCGCTCAAGTGCCGAATTTCCTTTGAGCTCGGTCCAAAGGTTTCTGTTCACTTTATCCCTTTGTTTTGCTGTGAGTTGAAGTATAACCCCTACAGGGGCACAGTGCTGCTCCATGTACCGAACGACACTTAAGGGGAGCTGCAGCCCGGGTTCTTGCTGGCGTTTGCAGATATCCGGAGAAAACGAAGCTGGGTGAAGATTCAAGAAGAACTTTGATGGACGAACAAAATCCAATGTGAGACCACTACCATTCACTGTAAAATCGAAAAAGTATGTATTGCTGATCCTTTTGAAACCTTTATATTAATTACATGCATCCTTATTGGTTCTCTGTTTATTTTTCACTCATCTGCAAAAATGTTCAATGGTCAGCAACTATTCGTGGGCCAAGAGCTCTCTTTTCGATTATGTCTAACGCTTCTTTAATCATGTTATATGCCATTATAGAACTTTTATGAGCGAACTTGCATCTCATAAGTCCTTCACTTACTTTTCAAACCAGTTATTCGTTGTATGTCCCAATCAGCATCTTTCATAAAGTACTTCCCTTTGATTATCTCCTCCATTTGCCATGGGACGTACAGCTGAAGTTGCAAACCGCATGTTAAGGTTTGTTGATTGACATATATTATGTGACAAATACCGTCATACGTATTGACGTAAATCATAAACCATTAATATCGAATAATTGCCTAATTGAAGCTCTAACTATAATGTCCTAGTATTAAAAGATCGGTTTTAAGAAAGTTATTAAGTTATATAAATAAAAATATTATATAAATAAAAAAAATTAAATAAAAAGAAAGTTATTATAGCGACACTTGTCGTGAATCGGTAATTATTTAAATTATTTAAAGCCACTATGGTTAATGAAATAACAGACGTCTAATGATTTCTTAATCTCATTTAATATTTGAAAAGGCTTAAACGTATGATGATTCCCAATTTTCAACGACGATGCGACAAACTTCAACTTTGTTAACTTAATCGAAAATAAACAAAGTTTTCTGAAACATACCCATTTTACGATCCATGTATATTATCAACGAAGCCTCTGCCCGCCGTTCATTTTTATTTTGATGTTCGTCAGACATTTGGTTAGTATTAGGTTGGAATATAAGCAGTGCCGCTGTCTTTATATATTCATATTTGAAATTTAAATACTTGAAATATTCCCCTTTTCGTTGACCTGTCCAGGATTTTATTTCCTTATCTTTGCTTTGCTTTTTGCTGAGGTTAAACAGCTGCGGAAGCTACATGGGATATTTGTGCCGCTTGGAGCAAGCTCCTTGTAACTAAGAGAACTGCTCAAAAGAGTTTGTTAAGTTCAAAATGGAACCTTGAACCCGGAGAATTTATCTCATCACAATCGGATTAAACATATTATGAAAGGCGGCTGCCTACTGACCCTCAACATCTTGCCAGATACCGGTCAATACGCGGCCACAACGACAGATTTCTGCATAGAATAGTCGCAAGTAATGAGAAGGTGGTGGCTCTACATTACATTTAAGCCAGTTTCTATCTTAAAAACCCATTTTGATTTCAACTTTGAATTATGAATTGAAATTATTAGTTTGGAATTAGCTTCCTGTCTCGGAACTCTTGTTCTGGAAGTTCCTCTCGGAACTCTATCTCGTTAGCCATGGGTAATAACCCATGAAGTGGGAGTTGACAGCAAGTATCACGTGGTGCACGAATAATTACTGATAACGGTGTTCATGATGACGTGTGATAACGGCAAAAAGTAACTAGATATCATTATGTTTGCTTATATTTATTACTTTCGGTCTTTATCACTCCCGGTTAAGTCAGAACATGCACGGTACTCTCTACAAGCTCACGTATCGCGAACATGACTTGACCCGTGTACCACTTTATGTGAAGTGGATTAATTTCGATAGAAATTTTGAGGAGGTGTACTCCGCAAAGATTCAAAGAAGTCCACAACCTTTAATCGGTTATGGGCGTATAATCATGCAGTAGCTCAAACACTCGGCAGCTCCGCAGGATTGACCACCCCTAAGTACGTCCATAGATTGCTACAGCAAGGTTGTTCTGGTTCCTTTGAGATTCGCTGGTACCGTTTAGTGTGTTCGGAATATCGATTAAATATCGAAAAGTTTATGCCTACTAGAAAGGCAGTGCTATGGGCATTACATCTGTATGTTTTAGTTCGAGATCAGTTTATTATTTTCATATTTTGTGCGTATCACTTAATGTAATATCAAATAATGGAGGTAACGTGTACGACTGAGCGACTAAGAGTTATACAAAGTCTCCTACATTACGACTTTCTTTATGATGTTTATTCATTCCTGGGATTTAGTAATCACAGCAAACCAGGGGAAACGGGAAGCGAACAACAAGGTATCTGGCACTATCCATGCGAATAAAGACATGCGGTGAGCGTGCTTCTGACGAAACTGTATTACATTTCACGAAAATCCACAATGCGTATAAGACATTTCGAGTGGTGAGGACTTTCCACAAGGGCATTCGTGCCGGTTCGTTGCCGTAGCGATTTACAAACACGGTCTCCCCCACTTGATCTGACTGTTTGACAGCAGTGGTTGAAAGCTTTATTCATTGTGTACTTTGTCACTAATAGTGTAATGTAATCGTGACTAATAATATGTGTACTATTGACACGTTGATTAATGGAGTCAACTTCGCGTTAACCAGTCGTACAACCGTGTTCGGTGTGTGGTTATAGATAAACACTGAACAAACAAAAAATTTGCTTAAAAATACTTGGAAAATACTAAAAAAAATACTTAGACAATGCTGATCAGTGGTAAAAGCAAAGAGCGATTTTACGGTTTCTATTTTGTTTTTGTTTTGTAACCGGGACCGGTGCAAGTGGCGTTCTTTTTTTCTTGGCACGTCCCTGCACTGTTCTGTTCCTACCCAATTGTTTTTGTTGATTTAAATAATAGATTCTTACTTAAATTTAGTGGTCCAATCACAGAGCAGTGCAGCGGAGGCATCCTATATGTCCAGAAGCTAATCAAGCTATTTACAGCAATAATAGTAATCAAAAGCACACAGAAAATACACCTTATTCCAGTCTCGACTTTGAGTACCTGGGAGTACAGGGTACCAGGAGAAACCGAACTCATAAACACAAGTTCTTTAAAAATTAGATTTCACTGCATTTACAAGTGCAATGGTGGCCTCGGCCCAGAATAGAACGACTTTCCAAATGGCGTCTAAGAGATTACACATCACTCGAGCTTCAAACAAGCAACTAAAGCCTTTTTCTCAAGTAGCAAAAGTAGCCATTTTATGCGCTGGTTGTTCTCCAGCCTACACAGAAACTGATCTGTCCGCACAGGTCAATTATGCAACCTGGCTATGGCCAGAAGAGAAGTACCATGCCCCAGCATTTTTTGAAAAAATAGCAGAACTTTTGTTCTCTACTCTAGTCTGTCGGAATAGTTTTATTGTTATCACATATATTTTCAAACCCCCCAGTGTTAAATAACAAATGATCCACAGAAGGGTATCTTACGCTGCTTCAACTGATTTAGATGCTTAGTTACGAGTAGTACAAAGTTCCGTCTATATCGTCCGTATTTCTGTCGATTTATTATTAAACTGAATTTAAATACGTGCGCGACTAAAAACATAGTTCCAACGTTAGTACTTAAACCCTCTATCACACTAACTTTTTTATTTTCGTTGTCAACCTTAACCATGGGTATAGCTTTGGCGAATCCCTCGTTAAGTTGATCCTCCGTTTCGATAACTCGTAGCGGCGGATCGCCCTCGCAACATTGAACAAGCGAAAATACCGTCAGATGGCTCTGCGCGGGCAAAAATGGCTGCGGAGCGACTGCAGCTGCTGCAGTTAGCGGGGCCGCGAGCCGTGGTAACGAATGGCCACAGAAAAGGATCGAATATTTCAGCTGTACGGATACATAGCGGACACATATAACAATCAAACCATTGTCATTCAATTTATAGTACAGTAAATGCAGATAACGGCAGGGAGGTACACATAAGATAACGGCAAATGAGACTAAAGCTAGCTCGACTATTCCTATTTAAGGTTTCGTAGAAATGTGGAAATGTGGAAAACAACTATTCAAAGATTTTTAAGACCATAATTAATGACATAGTACTGTTTTATGATGTTTAGCATAGAGCGAAGACATGCACTATCAAAAACATACTTGCAGTATTGTGACTACGCCCATGCAGCCAATCTCGTAGCCATATAGACTTTCATCAATTTGTCTTTCCAATGTAGACTGGATCAGAGGCAGCCCTTTTCGGTATCGGTGGATGAAACGTTCAAGCGTGAGACAGTGTAGCACGTTCAGAAAAAATGGGATCCGTTCCTCGGAGTTCAGCTTTGTCAGATCAACGTTGGAAAGTTCACGAGTCGATTCACGCCATCTTTCAAACTGAGTCCAAAACGCAACCTCACGAAGGTTATCATACCTGTTTGAATACAAATTAAGTTTTTGTTAGAATAACTTATAAATATAATACGATAAACAGTGTACGTATAATAAAACTTTTCCGCTCTTTAAATAGTAATGGTTTACCCAAAAACACCATTGCCTAAATCGAAATGACTAACATATTTTTACCATAAATTATACAATACGAAACTTCAATTACACACGATGAAAAGAAGCTTGAATCCTGTTATATTTACCTCTCCATAACTAGCTTTTTAGGGCATGGACATCTCTCTCGAAGGATATCAATCAACTGCGAGAGCATCTTTTTCGCGACGAATGAGGCGTTACGTGAGAACTGATTACCACCGTTGCTAGTTTGAATGGTGCCTGCCAACGAATTTTTATGGCTTCCGCTATTTGAACTTCCGAAAGGTACACCTGAAGAAAGCCTGTCAGCATTAAGGACCTTGACGGTTAACGAATCCGAATGCGTAGTCGTGCGCATGTAGATATTCGAGAGTATCTAAAATCACAAAAGATCCTGTTATGCAACATCCAGGTAGTATTCAGGCCAAATTATGTCCACAGTTTATTTCAGATTTGGTGCTTTTTGCTGTTATATTTTTCATCTAAGTCGTTCGCTGCAACATATTTAATCACCAAACAGAAGAACCAATTGATCTGTTTTTAATGCCTACTAACCTCTTTGGAGACACACTGCGTGATGTTGAGTTTCATATTTGAAGCAAATTCTTCAAGTTTTGTTGGCGAGACTTGGTCATGCAATATTAACTTAAGCAAAGTCATCGACGGAGAACATTCTTCCAAGACTCGAAAATAACACCCACATCCTGGGCCACGTAGCAAAGCACAATTACGCTGCTCTGGACATAAACTTTGCTGCTTTTCCTCTAACGCTTTGTACACTTGTCTGGCATGTGCGTACAGTGCGCGAGTAAAGTCAAAATTAACTGAAACCAACGATCATCGAAGTGTCTTTATATAATAATGGATAATGTTGTTTTCACTTGAGGAGTCCAGTCTAGCTGGAATTTATTTTAAAATCGTATTTTGAACTGAATAGGGGAACAGTACTGTGCAATACTGGCAGTTTATGTTTCCATGGAAGTTTAATTTTACTTATTTATTAATGTAAATACTTACAAACTACGGATTTCCCAATGAAGAATTTTCCTACAAAAGAATCTACTTCATTGAATATGAAGAATACATTATCAATGAGTTTTTCTTCTGCTAGAACTACTACTACTAAGGGCCAAATGGGATGGTCTTGGCTTAATGGTTTCTAAGGTCTGAGCAAGTACTGAAATGGACTTGGCCCTTTATTACGAAAAACCTTATTTTTGTTTAACATTTGTTTAACCAACTTTTGAAATCTTTGTGTTGCAAATTCCTTCAAGATATTGTGCCAAAAACATATCAACAAAAATTAAAATATAAACCTTTGTACCTAGATACGTCATTAACAAGGCTATCATCGTATGCCCGATTATTAAGTTTTAACTAAATGATGTCAGCATATGACTCTGTTCAACACTACTTTCTTGAGGTATAATTAACGTACACTGGCTAAGACGAGTGCGGTACTTTCGAATTTCAGTTCCCACCATTTTCCCTAGTCTGAAAAACTCCTGGTACACTTCAGAGATTGAGCTGCCTTTCTCCTGCTCTTGGCAAAGGAGTTTCCCAACTTTATCGAGAGTAACTCGAAGTGCTTTCCAGAACGTCAACTCGTTTCGAATTTGTACGCCATCCAAGTGACACGTCGACAGGTTTAGTGCTTTGTTTAGAGTTAAATGCTGCAATGTAATAAACAAATTTAGCTTTCAGTATAATTAACTATATTGTGCATAACTGAGCACACTGAAGCAAAAAAAATAAGAACAGTAGAAATTAACATTTTACGTCAAATGGCTTACCGTATCGGCCAGTTTTTCGCAAAGAGATGCCAACATGCTGGAACCTTTGTTGATTGCTTGGTACGCGTTACTGGTTCCATTGTCCTTCGAAAGATCTGCCGAGTACGTGAGCAGCTTATGAGCAATCGCTAAGCTCAAACCCGATGTGAATGCAAGATTCATGTAGAAACGACACTATAATTGAAAGGTGAATAATTATGCATTAATTGTCGAAAGATTCAACAAACCTAATTTGACTCTTTCTTTTCAAAATAAATGCTTTCTGCATATATAGTGACACAATAAATGTACTAACATGAAAAGAGAAGTGCATAGCTAAACTTCAAAATATAGACAAGTGATGGCTGATGTTTACATAAGCAAACCAATAAAACTCATCGAAGTGACGTCCATTAAACGACTATTTAAGTACTCCGCTGAACCCGCCAACAGGTATCTATGTACGGGTATTAAGTGGTTCATGTACAAGAGTTTGTTGCGCTCACCAAACTTTCGAAGTTGGACAAAAGTGGTCGGGCCTGAAGGAATGAATCGATGGCAGAAAATATCACACTTGAGCCTGCATTGGCTTTTTGAATTCTAATCAACTCCTCTTCGATTTGCGGCATCGCAAGACAGAACTCAAGTTCTGCTCCACTTGTGGCGTGCGTATTGTCCAACATGGCAAACTAACAACAAGATGAGATACGACAATTACAGGAAAATAAATGTATACATATCAATTGTTGGATATGGGACCTAGCAGCTGAACACAGCGTCATTATGCTAAGCAAGCCGGAAGCTGTATGAAAAGTTAAAATGCAAACCGTTCCTATTTTCCAAAATTCTGTTTTTCCTCACAACATGGCGGGTTATGGAACAGCTTGACAGTAAAAACATATCTCAAAGCATACCTGTCGAACCTGGAGGGCGCGTTCATAATCACCCTTCCAGAGGCAGTGCCTCAAAAGAGCGTCCATCGTAGAGAGCATTAGCTCGACCACTGAAGCCTGAGGTGCCCGAGGCACCATCTGGGCTATATATGACTTTGTTCTGACTCGAGCAGTGCGACGTTTTCGAACGCCCGGGGATGTGCTAGGACCTCCACTTCCACGCGTCAATGGGTTTGACAAGTCTAAAGATACAATCCGCTCCCCATTTTAGAATACATAATTTTTGGAGGCCACAGTTGTTGCCACTGATGCGACTATATTGACTACAAAAAGCTTGACACGATAGTTTTAGAAGACAATGAAGAAGCTATCTATTATTATATAACACTCGGTTATCTACTAATGAATTCGAGGCGAAAAGCGATAAACAATAAACAGACATTGCTGATACACTGCCCTATTACATAGAGCATTGAGTTCTATATAATTAGCTATCTGGTCGCACACGTTACACATATAAATACTGGGACTCAACAATGCTTAGGACAAAACATCCGCAACCGTTGATAAAATCAATGTTCTCATCTTCAGAATGAATGTCTAAGTGAATGCATGCGATGCTGTTACTCACCCTCAGCTTCGATGTTTTCTACATATTTAATACTAAGCGGGAGCTGCTCTTCCACGAGCTCCAGCCTCCATCGGGCATTTGTTACATGGGCAAGAAGAGTCTCGAGTCGAATTGGCAGATCTTCGTTATGAGGCAGGTTGAGCTTGCTAGTATGGATATGAGTTAGCAGAACGGGTAGCAACGTGCGGATGAATTTCTTCGGTGCTAAAAAGCCACTACCACGAATGCAGTGGCTGCTGTCTGCTGACTTGTAACGTGAGCTACCTTTATTGGTCTGGATATCCTCCTTAGATGGCGCCTCATCTTCATGCAATTCACGGTGGCTTATGAAAAGCAGTGAAAATATATTCTCCAACACCTCGACCTTGAGCTCGTTGCTCGGAAGTTCTAACAGCAGATCCTCCATTGCACTGAGTTCAGGAGTTACCAAAGCATCGAATGAAACATCTGGTCCTAATTGAAAAGAGTCATAGTCACAAAGTGTACAAAATTATTAATAGCAATACAGAAATATCACAACGAATGGATATTCTCAGTGTGCGAAAGCGTTAATCATTCCGACCAAGAGTAAGTTAATTTTTCTCACCATGCTGTTCAATGTACTTGACTATATCGTGCGTATTGTCAAGCTTAGGTTCTAGATCACTGCTTCGAGGCTGAAAAATCGAGTTTCGATCTATCCGACGTTCAGCAATCAGAATAGCAAAATGCAGAGCTGCAGAGACGTGTTTCAGAGCAAGGACACCTCTAAGTATATGCGATTGGTAGTCTGAAAGGGACGGAAGTCTGATCAGGCATAATAATCCGATAATGGTAATGCATATAAAATATTTATAAATAAATTGAAAAGATTCTGGCATCTGCCAATTTGAATAAAATTATGTTACAATAATTTGTTGGTATCGTCCCAATGTTTGTATACGCACATTAAGTTATATTGCCGACTAAAATTCCTTTTTATTTTTACTAAGTATAATTTTGGTGGAAACGAGTCAGCATTCTCGCATGTGCTTTTGTGAAGCATAGTCGTTCGGTACGAGCCTGGCATCAGATTTACATTCTTGATTTCTAATGTAGCCACTAGTATAACTGCTTCGCTTTTCTATATATTTTCCTTATTTATTATGCAAGAACAACTTTTCTATATATCGGATCATGACATGGGTGGGCCAAATACGAAATACCTGGTGGCGCAACTAAAATAGTACCACCGACTCAGACCATAGACGTGTAGTCTATCTCAAGTCAATTCCGAGGTTTCCCGTTTTTTTTTGGCAAAGCTGAGACGTCTTAATAAATCTCACATAGCAAAGATCCGCTTATTAATATCAGGCTGAATTCCGCTATGAGTATAATTACCTCAAAGCTGCCGCTATACGACTAAAAAGGCTTCCTGCCTATGTCAGCCAGTAAACACATTTAAAGAATTATCACTGCAAACTTACTATATCATTTATATTATATTTAATAAAAAGCATTTCAAATCCCTAGAAAAACTAAACAAATCATAGTGATGCTCTAAAACGTCAGAAGCATACCATCGTTGACGATATGCATAACTTGTGCATCCTTCATTCCGCGCAGCGCGCCAGTCGAATAAACAACGCGTAACAGACTCTGAGTCTGCCGTTGGCCAACAAGGTCTAACAGAGTAGAGGTCTTTGTCACCGAAGAAATAAGGCGACATTCACGAACAATTGTCGCCATCCTAACATTACAAATAACAAAAATTCAAATAATAATAAGGGATAAGGAAGTCCGGTGCCACATACTAAAGCGATTACCTAATATAATATAATAACCATATTTTCATCGTTATATATTGCTTCTTAACTAATAACCATGTTAAGGATGTTATATGGTATACCTTAACACCAAAGGATCTTTCGGAAAACGCCTTTCAAGCTCGTCAAGTCGGGTAAAGGCCACCTTTGCTGAAAGCTGTTCCCAACTAAACATAAGCGCTAACGGTAGCAAATTTACGCCAGGTAGATTCTTCGGTAGCTTTGAATTATTTACCATTGCTGTTATCAGATTGTCCTAAAGGAAACAACAAAATAACATGAAAACTAATGGATCTGGATTCTACCTATCAAATACAATTTAAAATAGGACCGACCATAGCAGAGAATAAACTCATTTTTTAGTCGATGTGATTCGGCTTTAAAAACCCTGCAGTGTATTCATATATATATATAAATTTACGAGTTAGCACTAAATTTATATATGCAAATTTCTTCAAATACTCGTAAAAAGATACTACATGTTTGTTCTTGTAAAAACAAAACTGTTTAATGCCCCCATTTCTACTGACGAATTATTACAGCAAAGTTAAGCATCATTACCAGGTGAAGCTCTAGAAAGTGTTGATTGCCTTGCGCTTTAGCCTGACTGAGTATGCATTCTTTGTCACTTATGGCCTGTAGTAGTTTGCGTTGGAACGAAATATTTCGGCACCCAATGGCGAGTGACATTAGCCGTTCAGCTCTGCGAGGAAGCACGGCTTCTACAAGCTGGTCTGTTAAAATCGTGACCAGCTCGTCTGGCACATTGTTGCACGAAGATGTAAAGCCGATCAGTTCCTGAAGTTTATCCATCAGTTGATCAATGGACCAATCTAAACAAAAATCAATAAAAAAATTATCGTTAGCTTATAATACGTTTACTAAAAATTTATAGTAGAGTATTTTCTCAAATATCATGACATATCCTTTTTAAAATTTTACATTAGGCAACATACGCCGGAATATTGAAATTATTAATCTAACGTGATCAATGGCGATTACCCGAGTTTGTCCGTTGCATTTCGACGCATACTTGCTGTACGCACTCCAATGTAACGTAAGGCAGCTTTAGGACTTCGAGAACGATAAATAGACTTATCGAAGGTCTAGGTACGAGACAATGCTGACGAAGAGCATTTAGGACGCGCTGTTCCGGCACAGATTCCTGTGTATAGGACTCGAGCAAGAGCTGGTTGAATATAGGAAAAAAACAAGCGACAGGTTGCAATAATTTTAGTATCAAGCTGTCAAACGACCGTACGCGCAGGTTTCTTGTGAACATTTGCTTTTTCAGCAACCTTATGTGTCGATATACAAATGCAACAACATTAAAGTTTATTTCGCAGTTTATGAAAATCGAATCATCTTCACATCAGTAATCGAAAAAGTGGTGTGCCAGTCGCAGCAAAGATGCTCATAGCTATGCAACAATAACCTAAGCCGAGTAGCTAATAACGTATTCTCATATTTTGTTTCAGGTCAAAAGTATATCAGGGATCAGATACTACCTTAGTTATAAAAAGAAACGTTAATATTGATTTATTCAAGAAACTTACATATTTAATCTCATCATCGAGTTGTGGGATATTGCGAAGTAAGTAACGGAAAGCCGCGTCCTTTATGAGTTTCTCGTCGCCCAGACATTGAGCCGCGAGGAAGGCCAAATGTTCAGGATTTCGGACATTCGCTTCCAAGCAGTAGCTGGAATTAGTCATCATTATTGCTCATCGCTTTATTGCTATTGCAAGTGATTCAGACATGAAAACAAGCATAGATAATCTTGTGTGACCAACCAGTAACGTATATAGCCATATAGTGGACAATGAAACGTTATTCTGAGCTACAAATCGTTCTGTTAGAGAAAATCCTGTAACTCAATACGTAACAATGTTACAGATACGTAAGCTCAAGGCAAAGACAAGTTTCTAATTTGTCATAACTACTTCGGCATAAGCTAAGAGTCCATATTCTGTATTTTCAACTCAGATAATATAATTTTCTGATTTCTACATAGGGACCTACTGTTCTAAACGAGCTAATTGTGAGGTTTGCTATGGAAATAATTTCTTTTACCTGTTTAGCTGGGGCTGAAGAGCAACACTGGTGAGAATCTCAGTCACCTGTCGCTTCTCCTCTTCACCGACAAGAAACTCGATAAAAGCTTCGACAACCTCCCATTGTCCCAGAATGAGATGCGTCTTAAGCTCGCTAATGATGTCTACTTCTGTTACGTAGCGCCGCAACATGGTGGAAACTATAATAATGTAGTGGCAATGTTCAAGAATATGGCGACAAGAAGCAGTATCTCACTAAGCAAATATTCTAATTAAGTATTTGATTTATGGGTATGGCCAGTAGTACGGCAAAACACCCATGAAAAAAATCTCCTTTGTCTTACATTTTTTTTCTTAAAAACATATTTTAGCTCAAATGTTTGTTATTTTTTTTCACCTGTGATGACTACGTTTGGTCATAAGTACATTATAACTTAAAATGGGCAATGTTATCATTTTTTCAAACGTTGACAAATTGTGGAGAAGCGAAAAGCAAGTCCAACCAGTTCTATGCAACTTGCGTTATTTGCGAGTGGTCCTTTTAACATAACCTCTCTACAAATTGAGGCCCTTTTTATACATCTACCCACACAATTATACGTAACACAGTATCCTGCAAAACTCATCGATGGTGCAAAGAACAATAGTCACTGACTATTAAGGCTTTGTGCTATCACTCTGATTTTTTTTACATTTTGTGCCCACATAATTCGCTTTTGAGTCCTGTATTATATAGAGTGTTCGTGACCGGCAATTCAATCGAGCTTGGCCATATGCACGGGCAGAGCTGTATTCTAGCGAAAATATCGAGTCATAGTGCTATACGCGGATATGATTACGCCCCTCCAACTTGCTGATCGTTATCCCGATATATTAAGTTTTTGAATCGTTAAGATTATATTTTCAATATATAAAAGTGTACAGAATCCTCCGCTCGTTTAATTTTAGCAAACACCGATTTCATGATAACAATATCAGTTTACTGGCCGTCGTAAGGTTATCCAACGAAGAAAAGATTGTCTCGATCCAGTAAAACAAATGGACAATAACGAAGCCATTAGTATTAATTTCATTCCAACGTGTGACTCGTCAATAGATATTTAGCAGCACCTTTGGACATATTTTCTAAATATTGCACTTCTAAATATCAATACTTATGCTGGTAATCCAATTCATTGCTTCGATGGGTTGTTTACAAAATAGGTCGAAATCATATAGTGACACTCTAGTAGAAGGGACACATTTGCGAAATGTATATTATTTCAGTTATTTCCTCTGACTTACATAAGATTTAGACGAAATACTAATACGGCATAAGTCAAAATATACAATTAAATTAACATGTACAACGCAGCGAACTCGACTAAAATTTGTCCGTGTCAACAAGCTATTTACACAGTTTGCCTTAACTTTTTTAAATTCTGGATGCAAAAGTTTGTGTTAATGAAAGGTAAACAACAGTTGAGAACTATAAATTAAAACTACAAGTCTATGTTAAAGGAAACAATGAGAAAGTTCTAGTTGCTGTGAACAAAATCTTTCAAGTAAGATTTTACTCCGCAGCAGTACTCGATGTTGCTACTAGTACTAGTTTCTATGTTGAGTGTTCACTCAAAAACAAACGAACTTACATTACAGGTTCTTCAGCAGAACCAGCTGACATAAAATACTGTCCGTATTTATCTAGTGACGTTCTTTATTTATGTCGAAAACTTAGATGAAGTGCTATACGATAGCCACACTGTATAGCGTATCTGTTTCGTTATTTTACTCTGAATATTTATGCACTAGACAGGTTTGTATTAATGCTGAATGGAAAGTTCAGTGCAGGCTAAATAAAGTTTCATTTTGAACAGATAGCACGTTCGGTAAACACTAGGCGTCGGCCGATTACAATTGTCTAACATTGAACAATTAAACAGCGTACAAGGAAAACGCACATGTAGGGAATATTCCGACAGCTAGAGATCACATCCTTGGCACCGATAGTTAGCTTGCAATTCACTTCGACACACGCTTCGTCGACTTTCTCTTCCAGATCACATGATCGACACTGAACGGTATCGCAAGCTTGGACGAAAAACTGACACAGACAATGAAATAGAACAGTTCTGTGGTGGAACGTTGAAATCTACCTACTTTTCGAATGCGCGCCGATGGAAACTTTGATAGAAGGCTAGCTAACTGAAGTGTATTCATCCTAGAAAACCAAAGATGAAACCTCAGCTTGCAGTGACAGTACGCAATACGAGCTGTTCAAGTCTACACACTGAAAGGTCAAGTAGGATCGCACATTTTTATCTATGAGATTTATCATCTCAGAAAAAATTTATCACACAGAGACAACGGTGAGGCTGATCAGCTGGCAGATTCGCTGTCGCGTAACGACAGCGAACATACTGTCTATTTGTCTACAATGTGGTTCCGAAGAACCTGACAAGCAATATGGTGGTATCCTAGTTACTTACTATCGTGATTAATAGTTGCATTGAAAACTTTGTAAACTTCGCGGCTGGCCAGCCGAGCACAAAGAGACGTATCAACCAGAAATTTCGTGCCATTCGACAACTACAAGTGACAGCCACAAAAAAATGAAGAGCTATTGGCTATCGCTTTTACTACTGCTCATTGGAGGTTGGTTTGGCCTTCACCATTTCTACCTTGGCCGCAATCGTCATGGCATATTTAGCTTGTTTACCTTCGGTGGGACTGTGTTAGGACTCATCCACGATATGTTCCGTTTACGATTTTATGTAAATTGGGCCAACTTTGATTCGGATTTTAAACAGAAGTATGAAGAATTCACCCTTAAGGGATCGAAAAGGCCATCACTGGGCTTTGGACGCAGTATTGCGATGGTCATAGCAGCTCAAATGTTCGGCAATCTTGTTCAGCTCGCTATCCCTGCGGACCTCCTACACTCTAGGGTCGTTACGATAATCAGCATGATACTCGTTCCATCTGCGATTGCTGCTGCGGTTTGGTATATAGGTTCAATAGGTGAGACACAAGGACCATTTGTGCCTATCCTCAAAGCAGCGTTATACACATCCCCCATATATATATTTATTTCGGGACAGTTTATTACAACTGTGCTTTGCGTTTACTATTTTCAAAGTTTATGGAGTTACCGGGCTCGACCCGATCATCCAGGCTCGTTTTTCTATAGAATAATATACATTGCGACTTTTCTACTAATCTTCCTCGTGCTATGTAGCTCTGTTATCATGTTCAATTGCACGATCCAGGGCGAGAGTACCCAAGGCGAAGTTAAGTGTCGAGACGCTTTGCGACACTTCTTCAATTCTCCGCTATGGAAAAATATTGTCGAATCTCTACGAGCCATACGCGATTCATTACGCGAAGGAGGATTTACACAATTTTCAGAGACTCTAATCGTGTTAATGGACCCAACCGGCGAGCAACATGCTCTGCAAGTTCTCGGTCTTCCACAATCTGCTAGCGATGACGATATTCGCCAAGCCTATCGGGAGCTATCTCGCAAGTTTCACCCTGACAAAAATTCGAATAAGAATAAAGAAGAGCTCGAGAAGACCGAACTACGTTTTATGGAAGTCCAGAACGCGTTTGAAACGCTGCGCCTGAGAAAGGCCTCTCCGAGGAATATAGGATCTGAATTAAAAGAGGACAAGAGCGTCGCTACAGTTAAAGACGTTGTGTGAACTATAGTTGATCTCTGAAAACAAATTAAATATACTCTCAAATCGAGAATCTGAAGTAATTTCTGTAATGAACTTGTTAAATTCCGCTTATACAGCGCCTCAACAGATAAGTTGGAACTTGTTGATGTCACAGTTGATGTTTTTGTCGAACGGTAATTGATGCGAGTCTAAAAATTCGAAAAAAAAAAAAATAGCAGAAGTAGTTTTATAACAAAATATGAATACAATTGAACTGAGGCAAGCGCAGAGTAGACATAATATTTTCGTCGTGTTTGTGTTTAGGTTATACCCTTGCCCATGTTCAAAAGTGAAGTTACATGACGAAGGCGTAAGGTGTACCCTGTTGCAGTATTTATGGGTATTAGCAATGCATTATATGTGCAAGCATATCCTTAAAATCGTACGCGAAAGCTAGATGCGACTAGAAGAAGGCTGAGACACTGAGGTCCACATTTGTATTATTGAGTATAATGGATGCAAGAATGTCGAAAGGCCAGCGTGATATTAGTTAACTAAGAAAGTGAATAAAACTTGTAAATAGACTAATGTTCATATAATCCAGAAAAAAATAAAATTCGATATTGCTTCTACGCGTCAGTCGCAGTCAATACAAGAGCCACCCCGATCATTTTTAACCCAGGTAGCGCGTTGCAATCACTAGCTCTTCATGTCCTATAAGGTTCCCAGGGGCACCTTTACTTAAGCATGTGGGCATGATTGTGTTCGAAACTGGCTTTGACTGTATGTGACTGAAGTTCATTCGTGAAATAACTTGCTTTTGTGCTTTATCCCAAAGTTGACTGGACATATTAATTGGCCAACTGCTAGTTTTGCCTGAACTCATCGATGTTATAGACCGTGTGCGATGAATACTCCCTTCCGCTATTATTTAATGACCGTGTCGAGACTCACACTAACAGTTCGACTACCTATAGTATAATTCATTTCGTTTGAATCGGGTCTTTGAGCTGATAGCCATTTCGATAATACATTTGCAATTTCAACGTAAAATTATACAATAATATAACGGTATATAAGAATATTTGCAGCCTGTCAAGAAAAAAGAGAAAAAAACACTAGTGAGATGACAAGTCTAAACGTTAACCTGGGTAATATAGACGGGTCCATTTCTATGCTACATGCGGCTAAATTTCTGTCCACAAACAAAATCTTCACAAATTTTATAGTTATCGATTATTCCCAAAAAAGCAATAACCACTCTGAGTAATGAATTTCTCGATATATGATAATTGGCCTAAAAATGTAAAAAAAAATGTAAAAAAAGTTTATTTGACCGATGTTCTTTGGTAATCAAAGAAAATATCTGTTTTAACTAACTCCAAATTTTTTTTTCATATACTATAAAATATTCTATAAATTAAGTTAATTTACAGATTATTAAAATACAGTTAATCACAAGGTTGTTAAGCGTAACGTTGAGAGCAACGGCGAATAATAAAAACTAAAAGAACTATTAGACTAATATAATTATGAACGCAAACAGACTGCACAACAGTAATGAGGTAAAAGATTCAATAATACACATTTGTTTAATTGTGTTAATATATAATAGTAATATTATTTAATACGTAAATAATATTAAAATTAGCCTTTTGGCAAATGAAACAAACTATATGGATAATGCATTTTGCGAGTCTCAAGATAGCAGTTTTTATTTAAGTTAACTAAAAAGCTAACATTTGTATATTTAATTTACTTAGCTTATAAGTTGAAATCGTTGTAATTACCCAATTAATTGTTTACTTAATAGGAGAACTCACTATTTTTATTAGAACCACTTAATAATTGCAATTCAACTAACGGGAAACAGCTAATAATAAGTAAATCGAAATTGGCAATTTTAATAGTCATCCCACAATGATGTTACTTCCAAACGAGCGTTCGCTGTAAATGAACTCACTGGTACTGCGTATTGAAACCTTACCTTGTACCTGTAAACTATCATTGGTTAACAGCCTGCGAGTTACTGCTCTTGGCTGATGATAATACTGTCTAAAACTGTTCGGCAATGAAAGTATACTCACGAATTAAAAAATCACTCAAGTTGAGCAAAATCGAACCTAAAAAAGTCACTAGAATGCTATTCAGTGCACTATTGTTGAAATAAGGAAGTTCTACATAAAAGCTCAACAAAATATCGGTTGACGAAAATATCCCTGGCGGGAGTCGAACCCGCGACCTTTGGATTAGAAGTCCAACGCGCTATCCACTGCGCTACAGGGACCGCAGCTGGAACATAACGAGTTCTCCTTTTACTTCATTACGTGTAACTAATTTTCGGTAGCTTCGTTAGCCCGCTCTATGCATTAGCTATTAATCACTCCTAACAGCTATAAAACCCCAGAGATGTTATGCAGAAGCTTATATTGCGCTAGCCACAAGTATTCTTCTCGTTCTAGACACGAATTTACCCAATGACGTAGTGATAATGGTATCTTTTGTTAAAATGTTAACTCGTAAAGCCAGTTAAGCTGTACTTTCGACGAGACAGAAATTTCTGATAGAAGAAAGGATCTTTTCCGCATATCTAATCACATCGCCGTCCATCGGTTCGTTTTACTGTAATAGACTGTACCGAAAATAGATATCAAAGTGCGCGTAATTTATTTGTTATAGTTTACACATCTAATTTATAGTATTTGTCTCATTACACCCAGTTTTTTTCCGGTTGCAAGAACTAATGAACATATGACAACAAATCTCTTAACTGAGGTTTTGCAGGAAGCAGTTGCCGCCGTCGATATGAGTTGTCATTAGCGCAGGCACTCGGAGGTTGAAAAGTGCCAAAACAACGATAAATAGGAAGTGAGGAGGCTGCTATCGACGTGAATAAGGAGGAAAGACATCGAGTAGAATAACAGAAAAATAACCCGAGATAACAATGACAACAACGCTGGTGGCTGGAGTAGAGACAACCGCCTGAACAACTCGTTGGACGAATTTCAGAGATCTCGTTCATATCTAGAAAAATCCGAATTCTGCAATGGCATAAACAGCCACCAACTGTAGTCACAAATAGGACGACTGTAATAAGCAGATACCACTAGGAACATTAGCAGGAGCAGAAGTCATCAACTGAACTGAACTGATTGTGACTTCGTCTGACAATTCTATTTGATTTTCGCTTTTCTTTCCTGCGCTCTCCTCCCCTGTAGAGGGGCATCTGTTGTGATGTGCCTGGATAGTTCGCGCTGGGGTTGTTTTGCCACAACTACCGCCAGCACGAGCACCATTCCGACGCTCCGTGATAGCAGCAGCGACCGATGATGACGATGATGATAATGACAACGCTGACAACGTGGAATGCCAAATAAATTGGTCCCTTGGTAATCGACTACGAGGCTTCTTCTTGCGTTTTCTTTACCTAACCCTATCTGCATCCTAGCAATTGTCCGTCTGTTGGTCGTATTGAACCGTCTTAGTACAGGCGCCGGTACGATATATGCAGCTGTAGCCATACGCATCGGGCCGCTTCAGCTCAGCAGCGAATCAAGACAGATAGACAGACCGACAGCTAAATAGTTAGATATACGTACGGGCATATATACACAGAAGTGGAAGATCAATGAAGAAAAGAAGCAATGGTAAGCAGGCGACCGAGCGACTGAAGAGGCCGGCAGCTGGTAGTGAAGTTCTTTGATAGTCTGAAGACGCTCTTGTTCACGACAAAGCCATTGGCCCGTCTGTCCACGAAGATGAGTTCAAAGAAACTGTTGCTGAGATGGCGCAGTGGGCAAGTTTGCCCCAGAAATGCTCCGCTTCGCCTTGCCGCCGTTGCTGCCTTCTCTGAAGACGCCTCATCCGTCTGGACATTATCATCGTCGTCGTCGTCGTCGTTCAATTGAACAACCGCTGGACGAAAAGCGACAGGCGGTATAGGCAATAGTCGGCAAGCAGCCCGAACAGCTTGACGACTGCTGATTTGGTCCGGACAGCGGCGGCAGCGTCCGGTTCTATTGCCGTTGATTTTATGTTGCCCTTTGCTGAGGCTGCTGCCTTACAGAGCAGTTGCAGTCACTGTTCTGCTCTTAATGCCGTCGCTGTTGATTCGTACGTATACATATCGCCAGAGAGTAATAAAGTTCTGCCGGGCCAAAGGCGGCGGCACCAGCAATGACGCTCGCCAGTGTTTTACCACATTGCGTCCATCAGTTAAGCGTCGTGTGCAGATCTTGCGTTTACAGTAGGTTGCCCCCGCCAAATCGACCACTGCTGCGGTTGCCACAGGGGCCTGTACTACTGCCAATGCACGCTAGTTTTTCTATCTAGCCTTCTGAAAGCTTGAGAACTAAGTAGCGCGTGACCGTAGGACTTGGTGGTAGTTCGAATCGCCACCTTAATTTGTTCGGCGCTGACTGCTGTTGGTATCGCAGAAGCTACGGGGCATACCAAACTGCATCTATATTTTTAACACGTACAGGACAGCATGAACGTCTACTGGCATAAATAAATAAATCAGATAATAAGTATTAGCGATAAACAAACGGACCTCATGACAGTCGAATAGGTTACACATAGTATATCTGCACGTGGAAAAACAATGAATTAAATGCCGACAATAGTAACTAAGAAAGAAATCGGATGTCGACATAACAAGCAGCTGTGATAAAGAGTGAAGCACAGTAATCACGTAATTAATACCGTCCGCAGATCCAACCGTACTCATTTTTATTTTATTCATATTATATAATATTCACAGAAACTATATACAGAATAAGAGGCAGCTTCATGCGTCTTTCATTCGCTAGAATCTAAAAATTTTGAAAAAAGCACCATCGCAGGTAGCTAAGGATCTTGCGAAGTAAGCAGGATATCTTGCATCCAACCCCAAAGATGTTTTGTCTCAAAATGAAGACTATTCACTTAGTTGTTTGTTACATATTGCCATTTATGTTCCATCAACATTATTATTACCAAATGTCAAAAAGAGGTGTTAGATTTCGCGAATGGCCTAGTTAATTATACTGGTAACTACCTATCTACGGTTCAAACATAATGCCTACAGGTTGTTAATAGGCAAGACGCGGCGCCGCTCGGCCAAGCAACAATTAATACGAACACCACAACAGCGACCACGGCCAGTTACAACCCCTTATTGGACATTCTTGGATCCCTCTTGTCTTATACCTCTTTATGCGTCGCGTTCAAGCAGCCCCCTTGCTGGTAGCAGCAGTTTTGGTATCGGCCGAACACTCTGATCGACGCGGTATATATATATACCTCAAGCAGGGCATATCTACCTAGCTATACTGTGTCCTATAGTGAATCATAGGCCTTGTGTATCCCAGTCGGCATTCGCTTGTGCAACCGACCCATCTCAAGTTAGCGGAGGAGCGAGGGGAGAAGGAGGCGACGGCGGCAACATGGTGGTGTTAGTGGCACAGTGAACCCACAATCGAACAAATGCGTTCGGCAACCCCTCTGGCGGCAGCAGCATTAGCAGAAGCAAAGGGGATCCAAGACCTGATTTTTCTCTGCCGGATAAGGGTGCGCGCCGCAAATCGAGGCCGTGGTGAGTTGTTACTCGCTTTCTGGCTGGGTACGTTGAGGTGTAGCAGGCATACAAGCA